CCGCGGCCGGGGGGCGGCGGACCGCGGGGCGCTCGCCTGGCTCTGCTACGACGCCCTGATGCACTTCGCGCTGGTAAGTGCCGTCGCCTCGGGCCCCAGGACGCGGGCGGACGCCGCCTCCCGCGGGGTCCTTCCCCTCCCTCCCCAGGGAGTGTCCTGGAGAGGACGGGGACGAGTTGGCCGCCCCATCCCCTATGGCGGGAGCCCGGGAGGTACCTGGAGCCCGTGGCGCTGGCGGCCTGTGGCCAGACGCTGCGCCTCTCAGAGGGCCCGAGTCTGTAGAAAGAGAGCGCTGCTTTCCTAGTGGTGCCGATTCCCCTACCAAATAAAAATAAAACAAAACCCCTGAAAATTGTTATTTCTGTGCCGTGTTATGTTAGTTTGATTGTAAGCTACTCAAAGGCCTTGGCTTACTTGACTTTGTAACCTGCACGTAAATGTTGAACCGAAAATAATTGAGTGCCCCCGAGGGAGCAGGGAGAGGTGATGCGGGCCGGGCGGAGGGGCGGGGGCCGGAGTCGGAGGGCCTGCACCGAAACAAAAGGACCCGCGTGCCTTAACAGTAGTCACCATTTATTGAGTGACTGCTGTGTGCCAGGCACAGTACTGTGTTTAAAACGTCTGGTCGTTACGACGTCGTATAAGCTAGCTGTTGTGCCTATTTGACAGAGGAGAAGAGAGGCCCTGCAAAGTTAGGAGACTTGACTGTACCGCACAACTGGCATGATGGAGTTAGTTTATTCTGGCTTCTTTATACCACGCCAAGCTTTAGCAAACGTGTCCCTAAAAATTCAAGCCACTTTATAAATAGCCAGGAGGGTTGTATTTAAAGGAATTCTATTGATTTGCCGCCCCCCCAACCTCTCCCCCATACACACTTTTTCTAAAAGTTTTTTTAAAACTATGACAAAATATCTCTTTTGTAACTTTGACCTTGCTTAAATCTAGGCCAACCTGTGACTAATGTGAAGCCAAAGTCTATAGTATTGAGACAGAAGTAGAAAGCAAAATTTTCAATAATCCTCTAGGTCTGTAAGTGTTTATCACTTGGATATGTGCACACACACAGATGTTGCTGGGATGAGGAAATTCCCTCTTTCCTAATCACACGTGGAGATAAGAGACAGTGAGTATTTCTCCCAACTCCTGTATTTATAGAATTGATCTTTAAGTTATCAGTGAACAAGGTCGCCCAAAAAACAGGGGCAGCAAAACAGGCTGCAAGGCCTGCTCAAAGAAAAAGGTGTTATAATTTTAGACATTAAAAAAGGTATAAAAATACTAAAACGTGTAACCGTATGTCCACCACCTAGTTTAAAATTAAGTATACTTTTCAAGCATGGGCTGTTACAGGTAATACCACACACATCTCCATTTATGGCACCTGGAGGGGTAGCCCAATGTGTGGCATCATTGCTCTGCTCCACACACACACACACACACACACACACACACACACACCCCGTTCTGAAGGAAATGTCCTCCACACAACCCCATCCTGTGCCGTTTACCTGGCCCAGCTGCGAAATGTTGCACTGTATGAATGCACCATACGTTAGTTCTTCAACTGTAAAATATACATTTTTCCATACATTTGAACACAATGCTGTAACCACTGTGGACCATTTCATTGATATTTTATCTGAAATTGGGATGTATCTTACAAGTGATGATGAAATATGTATATTTAACCAGCCCATATTAATGGGCCTGTTTTTATTCTGCTACTTATACACAATGCTTCAGCCAGCATCTTTGCACACATTTAGAGATCGATGAGGAGAGCACTTGAATTAAGCGGTTGAGGCCTGCAAGAAAAATGCATACCCGTATTATCTTTGGTTGGGAGTTTATTGCAAGAGTATCCAGAAACGTGGCATGAGCTAAGACTGGAATGGTAAAGCCTCATAGAGAACTGAAACCACAGCTCACTTGTTCACACTGGAACCTGAGCTGCCACTCGTTACCCCTTTAAACTTTACTTCTCAAATGGGAGGAGATGTTTGGATTTGTGGGCTGCCATCGAATGCAGAGCTCTCCTGTTGGACAGCGTTTCAGGCCAAGCATCCCCAGCGGTGGTTCAGCATCCTGATGTTCAACCAGAATGTGGTTACTGGGCTGCAGCACTGGGCTTCAGTTCAGTTGGTCATGGCTGGGCTGAAGGGCAGGCTGATTTCCCAGCAGTGCATTGGGTAGGAGCCATGGCAACATCCATCAAGAAATCAGTGGTTTGACTCACCATTCCTCAGAGGTTGCCATGGGCGTTCAGTACACTGGTGCTTCATGGGTGTTCCCCCGTCTGCGATCTAAGTATAGCATTCTGCACGGCCAGAGCATGGAGGCAGAATGTATTTGCCGATGTTTGGAAACCATCTTGAAGTCTATATTGACTAGAGCACAGAGTGACCTAGGGAAGAAGTGGGGGGACAGGCTGGAAAGGGAGTTTGAATGACAAGACTTTGAGTTTGCTTCTGTAGTAGGAAGCCATTGAAGGATTTCAGGCAAGGAAGTAGCATGGCCAAAGCAGGTCTTTCGAAAGATAATTTGGCGGTGGTGCGTCAAGTCAGAAACTGTGAAGGGTCTGAGATTTTACCCTCCTTACAAGTTAACAAGTTAGCCTGGTTGATTCCCCAAGCCCCACAGGGCAATGCAGTGAGGGCCAGAGGGTACCTGCACATGCAGTGGGGGCATTATAGGAGAGGAACCCCAAATTAGGCTCCCATCTTATATGATGACCTTATCTTTACTCAGGAATGTAAACAAATCTCGGGGGGGGGGGGGGAGGCAAGGTCTTTATCTTTACTCCCCTGGAACATCTCAGGAGGGAGAGGCCTCTAAGCTTTACTCCCCTGAATGTCTCTGTATATAAATATTCTTAAGTTGGTGTAAATGCCTGTGCTGGGAGACCCTAGACAGTGCAGGAATATGAGATATTCATGGAGCATTCTCTCCCAGCATGGTGCAAGGTGGATTGGAAAGGATCGTTAAGGGGCAAGATGATCAGCTAAAAGCAGTTGCAGTATTTTAGGAGTGAGCTGAAAAAGAGCTGAGTTAAGTGATGCTGGAGGTTAAAATGGGAGGAAAGCTAAGTACGAGAGACTTTCCAGGGAAGAATTTTGTAGGTCAGAGTGACCGCTTGTACACTGGGGGTGGAGATGGTCTTGGGGTTTAGAAACTGGCTGACATGGGTGATGGTGAAAATGTTGACAAAAACAGGAAAGTGAGATTTTAGAGCTGTGAATCTGGGGTTCTGGTGTGTAGTTGAGAGGAAATGGCAAGAAGGCAATTGAGATGTAAGGCAAGTTGCAGAGACGGTCAGGGCAGAATAAAGACAGTTGGAAGTTCTTTACCACGTTGGAGGAGACAGGGAGCCCTAGGGATGAGTGATTTTTCTGAGCAAGAGAGAATGGAAAGGTGAAAACGCTGAGGAATGAGAGCAGAATCTTTTAAAATGTGTATATTGAACAGTCAGGAAGAGGAGAAAGTGGGCCAGACCAAGCACCAGGATAGTGCTGGGTCCTGGGACCCAAGGGAGGGAATTTCAAGATCCCGGTTAATTATGGCAGGACCATTAAAAAAAAAAAAAGAGGTGAGGGCTGAGCTGGAGCCTCTGGGTCCAGCAATCAGGAAGTCCTCGGTAGAGAGGTATTGTCTGAACAGAGGCACCAGATGCTGAAGGCAAGGGCTTAGCAGGTGGGGTAGGGAAGACCTGGAGGCAGCGTATGCAAGACCTTCAGGAGAGTTGGTGGTAGGAGGAAGGAGAGTGGAGGGAGGGAGCTCCAGAGACATCACAGGGGCAGGCAAGGGACTTTGGGTTCTGTTGAAGATGGGAAGGTCTGAGTGCATCTGTGAGCAACAGCGTGATCCAGGGAAGAGAGAAGGACAGAGAAGTGTACTGGGCAGCACAGGCTGTCTGGTGCTGTGCCCGACCGCGTGAATTAACCTCCGGCAGAGCTGAATCTACCACTTGTCCTCTGATCAAAATACTCTGACTCGTCACTCCCAATTTTGTCACTGTGGAGCTCGGCTCAGGCTTGTCCTTCAGCGTGAAGGACAGTTGTGGAGAACCTGGGCTTCAGTTGTCTCTCTGTTCATTCTGCACTAACACCCAGGGGTTGTCTTTTTTTAAGAAATCCTGAGGCCCAGTGGCTACTTAAGTCCTTATTAATTTGTGTATTTGGGGAATTACCTTTTTCTGTTTAATGTGTTCCCCCCCTTCCACTACAATACTTCAGCCTCCGATCTTGGAACTTACTAAAAATTTCTTCCTCTTCCTACTTACTTTATCATTAGGTCTGAAGTTGCCTCTTAATTCACAGTCTGTTGCTGTCTCCTGTTTCCCCTTTCCTTTTTTGGCATTGCTGTCTTCGTCTGTTTTGCTCTGAGATAGATATCCTCTCTGGTAAATGAATTTATAGTCCTCATGCTCTTTGGCAGACCTGGTGAATCGCAGTTGGTCTAGCTGTATGTTAATGGTAAAGCTGTGTGATGGTTAATTTTGTGTGTCAACTTGACTGGGCCAGGGGATGCCCAGATGTTTGGTCAAACACTATTCTGAGTGTTTCTGTGAGGGTGTTTTTGGGAGATTAACATTTAAATTGGTAGACTGAGTAAAGCAGATTGCTCTCCCTGATGTGGGTGGGCCTCATCCTATCAGTGGAAGGCCTGAATAGAACAAAAAGGCTGACCATCCCTTAGTCAATGAGAATTCCTCCTGCCTGACTACCTTCAAATTAGGACATTGGCTTTTTCCTGCCTTCAGACCTGAACTGAAGCAATGGCTTTTCCTGGGTCTTAGCCTGCTGGCCTTTAGACTAAAACTATACCATTGGTTCTTGTGGTTCTCAGGCCTCTGGACTGGGGCTGGAACTACACCATTGGGTCTCCTGGGTCTCTAGCTTACCGACTCACCCTGCAGATCATGGGACTTGTCAGCCTCCATAATCACATAAGCCAATTCCTTATGATAAATCTCTTGATAGATGGGTAGATATTAATAGATATAGATGTATATATATAAATACATATATGTAGGTATAGATATATAAATATATCTGTTTCTCTGGAGAATTC